GGACCTTGGCAATCACGGTCCTCCACATCATTCTGTCTCTTGTAGCTCTTAATAAGTTTTGTATTAGGTTATTTCTCTCAATTATATATATATATATATATACATACACATATATAATTATATGTATATATATATACATATAATTATATATATACATACACATATATAATTATATGTATATATATACATATAATTATATATATATAAACATACACATATATAATTATATATATATATATATATACATATATATATATATATATATATATATATACATACACATATATAATTATATGTATATATATACATATAATTATATATATTCACATACACATATATAATTATATGTATATATATACACATATAATTATATATTTTTACACACATATATAAAAATCTCTCTCTCTCTCTCTCTCTATATATATATATATATCTATATCTATATCTATATCTATATATATATATATATATATATATATAGGCTTCATACATAGTTGAAATCTGCTCGCAACTATTTGTCCCAGAGATAAAAAATAAAACCTTTAGATATAGCATTATGTACGAATTGTAACAGTTCTTTATCTTTCACTATGGTGAATATTCAATGAAAGAAAGACACTTGTGCCATCTTTCACCGTATTTGCGAATGCACCATTGCTACACCAGAGAATGTCCATAACTTCTCACATACGTTGTGGAAAAAATAACAATTTTAATTTCATATTTAACATTGAAACTTTGACAAATGAACCAAGCGGCTATATAAATTAGAAATATTTAAAGACGTTCGTTCATAAATATACACGCATGGAGCCGCCTTCGAGAATATGTCGTCTCTGTATTGAAGTGTTCTCATTATCTGTCTCTGCCTGTCCGCAATAACACACTGATTTCGTCTTTGTTGTTTTTTTTTTGTTTTTCTTTATGCATATATGTATAAATAATGTAGAATTCGTTTATCGCTTCGTAAACAGAGCCTCATGTGCATTGAGAGGCGTGAACATAATGCAATGCTGTTACAATTAATTCGTTTCTTACAAAGAAACATGCCTTGAGACATGACGACAATGACTATGGTAATGACAATAACAGACAAGCGATATATCTGGCTGGAGGCAAATAGGATACCGTAATAATGAAGTAGAAGAAAATTATGGTAATGTGTTGTATAAGAGAAAGATCTTTTATTTATTTACATACATATATATATATATATATATATATATATATATATATATGGGGGTGCAGAATGTTAATAAGAAACCTTGAAGTCCCGTGAAGATATGAGGAGCAATAAAGAACAAGAACAATAACTACGTTCTCGTACCAACTGTTAGTCCCAAAGTTATATAAGTAAATCGGCCTTAAGAATTCTTTGACTTGTTAAATCCTGAAAACATAGCAAGAAAAATATCCTATGCCCATAGGATTACTGCAGACCACTTCAAAGATTGCACAATTTTTGATTTCACCAAGTCACTCTAGACAATCTTTCTCTTTAGAATATGTCATATAACTTTAAGTCTGGCTTTCATCCATGCTTCGAATATTGCTGCCACATATGGTCCAGCGTTCATGCTATATATTTAGAGATAAAATCTGATGAATTTGATAAGAAGAATGAGCAATATTATTGATCCTGACCAGACGTCACGTTACTAGTTTTCCTACTGCCGTAAAGGTGTTTCATTGTGACTTTTCTCGAAATACTTTCATAGCAATTGTTCAATCATTTCTTCGCTATGGTACGCAGACTTTATGAATTTAAGCGAGATAGAAGATGAGCAAAATGGTTTCATGAATTTTTACTCGAATTTACTAGTTGTAAGCGTAATTTCTATGCTGTTTCTTTTCTCACACTTTTCATTTGTGGAACTCGCTTCCCGTTTCATGCTTCGCAGCCAAATATGATCATCAAAAATTTTAATGAAATATTAGTCGTTATATTTTCTTTATTCTTGTTTTTATCACATCTTCTATCCATAATAATTTCTTCTCTAACTCTCAGAAACTATTTGCGTTTTAGTAGCTTTATTGACTTGGAGTGAAATGATAATATATCATATTGAGATCTACCGACTAAATTAAACACAAGGGAATTCTACAAAGTGAATGGCGACTTTCATCTTAAGAGGCAACAGAATGGCTACTCTGACCAAAAATGCAGACTAATAATTCTGGTTATTCTGAATGTACTCCTGAAAGTGATGGATATTGTGTTTTGTTAGCGGATTGAAGTAATTAAGCTAGGAAACATTTTTTAAAACTAACTGGGGGGGGGGGAACTTGTGAGCGTTCGGGATACATTCTGTCAGGTGTGTTAGGAAATTTCAAAAAATTAGAGTAAATTATTTAATACAAGATCAAATTGTACAGGACGCAGTCTTCATGGAATCATATTATTTTTATATTTTATTTATGGTCAGTAAGTGTATGAGGAATACCACACAGAATAAATTTTACTCAAAAGGAAGATCTCTTTGTCATATAGATAGTTTTCCAATTAGATTTCTTCAGCAGTGAAGAAACTCAATTGTAATATGCCAAGACTAGACACAAGAGAGAAAAATAGATGTCTTGTTTGTATCATTCATAATCGGGAGGTGATGTTTCTCGGGCATTCTTTTATTTGGAAGGCAGTTATAATAATGCGTTGTGCACTATATATTTGTGAATTTGTGTGGAATGTAAAACATAATCAGTAAGAGAATACGATAGAATTAACAGCTGAAGGTAGAGAAAAAAAACACGAAAAAAAATAAGGAAGAGTGCAAAAGTTCACGCTCTGGCCATCACCAACATGACATTTAACTGGTCATTTTGGTTAACCCATTTTTATCGACCAGTATCCTACTGTCATCATATCATATATATATATATATATATATATATATACGGTTATATATATATATATTTAATGAAAATTGTTGTAACACTTGAACGAACGCCTCTGAATGTTGACTTCAATATTCACTTTATATTAATTTTACATACGCCCCTATTTTCAGATCCTGCACCACTTTATCCATCCTTGAGCATACCTTAAAACTATATTTTTCATATATATATATATATATATATATATATATATATTATATATATATATATATATATATTTGGCTGTAATGGATAGGGGCTTGGATTGAGGAATCGGAGAGCCGTGTTCGAATTCAGTCGAATCCATTTTATTCATTACGTGCAAAAATACCCTTGGGAAAGGTGCAAATCCTCTTCTTCTCCCTCCAGCTATGGGTAAATAGCAGGACAGACTGGGTTCTATAGCCTTGGATGGCAACTGGTCTAGGAGAAGGACAACTGAATTCAAAACCTGCGGAGGGTTGTTTGGGGACCTTGTGGCACGTAGTGCACCAGGTCTCTGTATTCGGCCCTTTAAAAAGAGAGGATTATCCTGCACGAAACCTTCACCCCTATAATCAAATCTCATGTGGTGTTGTCGGGCTGTCGGTTTCCTAGGAACTGATCTTCTTGACACTCATACGTCGAATTCGACGGGACAGTTGAATAGATATATAATGATATTACTTCATCTAAACAATAGATGTCTCTAGTCAATTCTAAACAAAACAAAAAGCTAAAACTTGAGAGAGGAATGTATTCAATTGCCTATAATAATTGTCACAAAATACATAGGGGAAAACAAGAAATCTAAATCAAAGATTATATGAACACAAAAATGACATTTTATAGACAATAAAAAAAGCGCCCTGGCTGTCCAGAGTAACGAGACTGACCTCCAATTTAGACATAGAAAATACGACTCCGATCAATGGAGAAACAGCTCTCTACGTTGGAACGGTCTAAGGACTGCATGATCATCTACATTAAATTTCTATTCAGGGACTCACAACATTTCACCTTTCCAGGCAGAACTTCTATTATCGCACTACGGGATAATTACTAACAAAATTAATGGCAAGAAAAAAGAAAGAAAGAAAATGTATTTAAACGAAATTGGCTAGATTAAAAACAAAAAATTACAACTCTCAGCATACATCGTTCGTAAACATATGTAATCGCACTCACGTAACTAATTTCGTCCGATAAATTCCTAAAGGACGGAAGGCGCCAAAAGAAAACTTTTTCCACTTTATAAAACATTTTCTCTATCTCATATATATATATATATATATATATCTATATATATATATATATATATATATATATATATATATATATAAGTGCGTGTGCGTTTGCGTAGATACAGATCAGAGATTCCGGCATAAAGCACAGAGAAAGATAAGAAAAATATGTTTCTCAAACCAGTAATTGATAACGATTTGTGATAAAATTGGAAAGAAATGTATGAAAAGTGAAGTTTATAGAAAAACAGAAAATTGACAGAGTGTAACGGAAGAAATCTATCAAGACTAAAAGCAACTTAAGAAGCGGAAAGGAAGCAAATTTGCTAGCAAGCTAGAAGAAGCAAATAAAAAAGAGAAAGTATATGAATGAATAAAAAACAAAGAAAATTTTTCAATGTTCACGAAGATAGAATTTATATATATATATATATATATATATATATATATATATATATATATATTCTATGTTACTATCATTATTAAGCAATATATTGTGAAATGTCTTTCATTCATAATTTTTTCACTTTCTCATAATCTATCTACCTAACAACAGATTCAAAATTTTAAAAATGGCGTCCTGAAAACAAAAAGACAGCTTTTTTTTCATTCTTTTGTATTGCATTTATTAAATTGAAATTAATGGTTTTAAGTTGTTCGGTGCTTAGACTGAGTTAGTTTGAATGATAATCTTACCAACTAACAGGACCGGCAACCAATATTATCTACCTCTATTCTGGGTGGGAGTTCAAGAAATTCTTAGTCTCACCCACTTTTGAAAATTAGTGATTTGTTGGTGGACATATAAATATTGATTAGGAGATCTAGCTTCAGTACTCCATCTTTGTAATTTATACATAGGTAGATAGCAAAAATGTAAAGGCCGGGTTAGATAGATAGTTACACACATGAATAGATAAAGATAGATAGATACAAAGATAAAGATCCAGATCGATAGATACATAGATAAAGACGTAGATAGATAGATAGATAGATAGATAGATAAAGGTCTAGATAGATAGATAGATAAAGGTCTAGATAGATAGATAGATAAAGGTCTAGATAGATAGATAGATAAAGGTCTAGATAGATAGATAGATAAAGGTCTAGATAGATAGATAAAGGTCTAGATAGATAGATAGATAAAGGTCTAGATAGATAAAGGTCTAGATAGATAAAGGTCTAGATAGATAACGGTCTAGATAGATAGATAGATAACGGTCTAGATAGATAGATAGATAACGGTCTAGATAGATAGATAACGGTCTGGATAGATAGACAGATAACGGTCTAGATAGACAGATAACGGTCTAGATAGATAGACAGATAACGGTCTAGATAGATAGACAGATAACGGTCTAGATAGAGAGATAGAATGATAACGGTCTAGATAGATAGATAACGGTCTAGATAGATAGACAGATAACGGTCTAGATAGATAGACAGAAAACGGTCTAGATAGATAGACAGAATGATAACGGTCTAGATAGATAGATAACGGTCTAGATAGATAACGGTCTAGATAGATAGATAAAGGTCTAGATAGATAGATACATAGATAAAGGTCTAGATAGATAGATACATAGATAAAGGTCTAGATAGATAGATACATAGATAAAGGTCTAGATAGATAGATAAGGATTTAGATAGAGAGATAATATATGTATTTAAATATATATATATATAAAGACCGGAGTTTGTATATATATATATATATATATATATATATAGAGAGAGAGAGAGAGAGAGAGAGACTTGAATAGATAGAAATGTAAAGATCTGGATAGGTATATAAATGAGTAAGTAAAATCTTGGATGGATAGATGGATATATATGTAAACAACTGGATAGATGCATCATCGATAAAATGTATAGACCGGTTTAGATAGATACATAAGTATGTAGAGACAAGGTAAAATAGAGATATATAAAAATCAGGATAAATAAATATGTAAAGATCGATATATATATATATATATATATATATATATATATATATATATATATATATACATACACATATATATATATATATATATATATATATATATATATACACACACACATATATATATATATATATATATATATATATATATATATATATATATGTGTGTGTGTGTGCGTGTAGATAGATATATAGATATGTAAAGACCGGAAGAGAGAGAGAGAGATATGCAATGACCGGGAAGATGAATTTATAGATGTAAGAATTCTCTGATAGATGTAGAGAGCGATAAATGTTTTAAAAAATATATAAAGGCAATTAGCTGATTTTTGAAAAGAATGTCTCACGGCCATTTTGCTCATGTAACATCTATCAACGATAACAAATTTATTTTTGACATGAAAAAATCATCAACCATTTGCATCAGATCGAGTGGAACAATTATTTCAAAAGTACAAGAAAATTAGATTAGGATTCACAAAAATGCAATAAATAATTGAATAAAGTGAATTTTAAAATCACAACCCAACATCCACCATCACCCTTCTCCGAATAGATTGTGAGAATTTACGAAAGCCAGATTTTATTCAACATTGGAGAATCGATTTATTTATGTTTATCACAGCTTCTTCAGTTTTTTTTTTGATCATACTCCTGAACAGAAACTTAAATGAATTTATCTACAAGGGAGGTCAATGCGTTGTTGTTTTATACTCTGTTACTATACGAATTTTGACCTAAAATTTCCAGCGTACAATCTAGGAAAAGTGTGGTCGTTATCGAAATGTGAAGCCAGTGCATTAACAAAGAAAGAGATTATGTCGATAAATTTAGAAAAACTAAATTACTCTTATTAATCTACATAATTCGGACTGTTTATCTCATCTCTGTTGCCATATTCACGCCGTTTCGGCCGTAGTAAGCACTTGACTTCTTCATGTAATTGGAATTTCGAATTGAACCCTTCATTTCGTCCACCGGTGTAGATTGTTCTTATTCCACGTGCCGTGCCTCTTCCAGATACCTCAGTTTCAGTTATTTGACCTTTAAATCAACTAAGTGTTTGTCTACCTCTCTTGTAGTCATATATCGAACTCACAACTCTTTGGGTCAAGTCCCTGGATTGCTTCAACCAAGGCTTTTATCCACTGAGGCTTTAGGCTTATAACTGCCAAAACTTCATACACTGATGTTCTCGTAGACATGGCCCTGTGGATAAATTGAAGCCAGCGACTTGAACCAAAGAATTGGGAGTTCAATACCTGACTAAATAAAACTTGGAGAGTTGAGTCAATAGAACATATCTGATACTGAGATATATGGGAGAGTCATGGTATGTGTATCTAGAACAATATACCTTGAAATAAAAATGGGTGAAGTAAAGTTTTCGGTTCCAAATTCCAGTTACCTGAAGAATGCGGGAACATACAATGGCAGAAAAGGCGTGAATATTTCAACAAATATGGGGACGAAAAATGTAAATAAATTATTCTTTCTTTGCCTAATTTTGTCTTGCATATATTGTATTCCCCTGTTCTTTTTCTTTGTCTTTTTTTATTGCTTGTTGAATATTTTGTCCATTCCGTTTTCTGTGGATTTCTGTCAATTATATTTAACCATGGACAATCATTCTACAAGCCGTTACCTCGAGTGGCTCTTAGGTCTTTTACCGAGAGAAAAGCAATGTAAAAATCACAATATTTTGGTTATTTCTCCGTATAGCAAGAAGAAGCTGGGCTATTTTGAAAATGTCGATTCACATAGAAACTCTTTGATAATATTTGATCGAAATTCTTTCCTGATAGCATTCACACTAGCTTCTTTTTTTTTTTTTTTTTCGTTTTTATGGTATTTTTCTCAGCATGTCTCCTATTCTTCGTGCTATAATTAAGTTTTATGCCAACAAAAGTTAAAAACAAATATTTCTCCATATCTAAATCTCACAATAGGAAAGTATAAATATATTAACAAGTATAAAGTAATCTTGAACCTCCCCTGCGTCATTTCACTGAAAACAAATTATAATGAATTGGTATTCCCCACGGAAAGCTTTTTATTCACATTTTCTCTTTTTTCTTCTTTTTTTTTCTTCTTTTTTTTTTCTTTTGCTTTTTTTCACGTTGTGTATTTTAACTCTCTTACTTACTTGGTAAACAAAGCCATCTCATTTCCCAACAGGTCTCTCTGTAAAACTCTGAATTGAGTTAGATTTTTAAACAGTTACGTCCAACTCATCACGATTACTGAATAACCAAAACCAATCAGCTACTTACCTGCAAAAGAAAAAAAGAAAGACAATTAAATATCATGATGACTGAATATCCGATACAAAAAAATATATCTAGTGTTCAATGTTTTTTTTTCTTTTATTTTTCTTTTATTTTTTTTTTATATTAAAGAAAAACAAAAAGTTAAATGAAATATTTCTCTGTTTTAAACAATATAAATCATTTACATTATTCGGACTAATGTCCTCATCTTTGTCGCCATATTTATTACAACGTTTCGGCCTTTGTACGCTCCGGCCTTCTTCACGCCGTAAAACACAAAACAAACCAAATTGTTTTCTTGTTCACAGAAACTTTTTTAGTTTATGAATAAAAAATGTTTTCAGAGAATTTTTTATAATACATGGTATATATATATATATATATATATATATATATATATATATATATATAGTACAGTATATATATATATTTTTTTATATAATACAGTATATATATATATACATTTTTTATAATACAGTATATATATATATATATATATATATATATATATATATATACATTTTTTTTTTATAATACTGTATATATATATATATATATATATATATATATATATATATATATATATATTTATAATACTGTATATAAATTTTACTTTGTAGTCAGTTCACATATTTTTATAATCTTGTCAATATGAAATTATTCTGGAAAATATAGAACCAAATATATAAATATTGTTTGATATTTTTGTTATTAAAATAAAAAAAAACAGTTTGGTAATTTCAGTCTAAATTTCTGAAATTAGGATTAATCATTATTTACATGAATTATCTTTATTGACGTTATCATTTGGGTCCGTACCGATTCGATAATTTCTGTCGGAGTTTCTGAGATAGGAATTTATCAATATTTAATCAATTTACATTTGGGCAATTGACCTTATCTTTGATATTATCACAAGAATAAAGTTGAAGACATTAGACCGACTTACTCCAGTATGTTATGTTCGAGTTGTATTTAAATTCTAAACATAACATATAAAAACAAAAAGAAATAATCACAAAGTAGTAAGCAGTAACAGTGCTGCCAAGAAAAAATAAAACCTGTTTTGGGGTACGTTTGCCTAATTTCCTAAAATCTGGCATTATTAATTTTAGGCTATATCATAACATATTCTAAGAAAAATGTAATCTATGAGATTTAGTTTTGAAAAAGATTTCTATCTTGATGATTGCATTCCAAAATCTGTAAATGTAGAGACAAGTAAAGATTATCCATCAAGTGTGTGTGACCGCTTTTGTGTTTGTGTGCGTATGTGTCACAAACGCTAGATCCAAACATCGTGGAATATTCAAATTACCTCATTCGTATTCCTGGTCAACGAAATTCACAGAACATTAGACATGAATAAAGAAAAGAAGAGAAAAACCTACAAAACTTTGAGCTGTTCTCTTTCATCTGCTTTGACCGTCAAAGGCAATGGTTGCAGAAATACATTACTCACAATGTTTTCTTTGGTAATAAACTTTTCTACTACGTTGATTCAGATAGTCTACAAAAGATTCTAGCATTAATATATCTTGTACGAAACCAGTGTATCGGAAAATATTCTTATAATCGTTTTTCTTTTATTATTTTTCCTTAAAACAGTAAAACAATTCCTAATTCTGTGATTCACTGTTCAGCTATTTTCAAGCGGTTTATCCTGCCAGTTTTGACGTAATAGATGGAACTGACAGACAGTCAGATGTTAGGCAGACATATTGTCTGACAATATGTTACTCGGCTCTAATTATACCAGATCAATTAACTGCAGAACAAAACATGTCCTCTCTTTTTTCTTTCTTTATTTTATTATTACTGAAAAAAAAACGGACATTTTTACATGTGTCACGCACACATACAAAGATAAACTTAAGTAGAAACAAACAAAAAGGCCGGAGGAAGGGTAAGTACAATAAAATAAATCCACCATGAAGAGGATATATATATATAGAGAGAGAGAGTAAAGATATAATCAGTTTCTATCCTTACAATAAACGTGTAAAAATAACCATGACAAAACACAGTATAAGCCATACAGAAGATTATATATATATATATATATATATATATATATATATATATATATATATATATAGTTAAACCTAGAGAACCAGATAAATCTACAAGGTTTCACCTAAGCGTATCGTCAGGGGAAGGCCGGGCGAGTATAGTTTCGAATACTTAAAAGATTTCTATTAATAATTATATATATATGATGACCCATATAATCAGCAGAACAGGAGAAAAAGTTCGTTTCTTATTATATAATGGCCAAACAACCAATCGTTCTTTTTCTAGAAAGAAAATTTTGTGTTTCCAACGTATATCGGATTTAATATTTCAAAGTGAAAATCAGAGTCCGCCTTTCTGATTATTGTAAAGGAATAACAGGTAAATGACATTGCGCAACCCGGACTATTAATTAGACGTTCAACAATCGCTGAACCAAACATGTTCACCATCTTATGTAAATTATCCCACCTGCCCCGACGTTTCCAAACGGCACGTGCTGATCAATTCGAGTCTCCAATTGTTGATGTGTTCTCCTTAAGTATTCAGTTTCACACTGGCGCTCCTAATGATATATTACTGAGCTAATATATACGCGGAGGATAAACTTCCTTACAAACGGCTTTCAACACAAGTTGGGGAACAGGTTGTTTCACGTCCTTACTGTAACTTTATTTTATTAAACCTGATCATTCCAAGCTGTTTGTTTGTTATCTGTACGTTTGTGTTTGCATGTGTGTTACAAATATTTTAATATGACCGTTTTATTAAAGAGTAATAGAGTTCGGTACATTTCACATACTTTCTCTATTTGTATTATTGAAATGAGTGGAAACATTTTGAAAACTCGGACTTTGTAGAAAGAGTTTTTATGCGGGGAATATAATTACTTTAATCCCTTCAAACTCGTAGATCTCAATTTCTTGGATTAGGTTTATTATTTAGCATGGATTTCTTGGATTAGGTTCATTATTTTGCATCGATTTCTTGGATTAAGTTCTGTATTTGGCATGCATTTATTGGATTAGGTTTATTATTTGGCATGCATTTATTGGATTAGGTTCATTATTTAGCATGGATTTCTTAGATTAGGTTCATTATTTAGGATGGATTTCTTGGACTGGGTTTATTATCTAGCATGGATATCTTGGACTGGGTTTATTATCTAGCATGGATGTCTTGGATTAGGCTTATTTGGCATGGATTTATTGGATTCGGTTTATTATTTGATATGGATTTCTTAGATAAGGTTTATTACGTGGCATTGATTTCTTCGGAAAAGATCAGTTGTCACGGTCTTACAAAGTTTCGACTGCTCTTCTCCCTTGACTTCCTAATAGGATTGCTGCACTCAATAACATTTGTGGAATGTCGAAAAAAACAACATATTTTTTAGTATTCTATGATCATATTTGGTTTATACTTGTCATGCTCTGCATCATTTTACAGCATTTCAAACACTTCATGTACTTTGTAAATTCGAAATATCTGGATGAGATCATATTTACTATTAGCACGATTCGTATTTTAACGTTTGTTTGCTATTAATAATCAATTCAAGCGATAGGATTTGATTTCATAGTCGAAATTAATCGAAAGCAGGCACAACTGATCGTATGCATGAGTGTTCCAGTGGATCGCGAAGTGAATAAATGAAACCAATGAATAGTTTTAAAGAAAAAAAAATTAAACATTCTCGTGAAATGATCAAATGTAAAGCATGGAGTTATCTAATAAGAGCTGGTGTAATTGGAACCATTCAGGAAGCAATAGATTCATAACTGGATGAATGGATTATTGGAGGAAGATCAGTGAATCGTTCTGCCTGAATACATAGTAAAATTTTGTATTCGTTACAGGCCTTCTCTCCCTGCAAGTAATATTATGAGCTTCTGGATTTTAGAAACTGTTAAAGACGGAGAAATATTTTTAAAGAGAAAAATACTATCGAGTAATGATTATTTGGAACGTGTCATTCAAATAAAATTAAAAAAAAAGGTAAGAGAACAATGGAACAATAGAAATGAAATTGTCAAAGCAAAACTAAATACAGTGAGCCCCAGAATATTCTCGTTTCAGCATTCGTGGTTTCACACATTCTCGGATTTTTCTTCGGAACATATGTAATTGTTATTCGCGGAAACCCCAAATATTCGCGTTTTTCTGAAGAACATATGTACAAATTATTCGCTGAGAACTCCCTCGATTCAGGTATTTTTCGATAGACCATATTTAAATTATTATTGTATTTTTTTCCTATTATTTAAGTGACTTAAAACATATAACAGTCCATTTTTAGCGTCACAATAGGTAGAATTGTACATCTTCTTTGTAAAAAAAAAAAAAAAAAACAAACGAAAAAATATGCGTAATGCTTGGGCTTTGTTTTTTGTTAGGGGCTGCAAACTGGGGTCTTAAAAGTGGCTTACGCCACATCTGGTTTTCAATTGAAATCCTAGAATCGTTGTTTGTGTGAGTATAGGAGAATCTAACTTAATGAGAGAAAGTTTTTATTTTCCCCTATTTCTGTCACGTGCAGGCTTTGACCAGTAGGAGTAACAGATGGGGGACATAACACAAAAGGAAATTGCCTCTTTTAGGACCATGTGATTTGGTGAGGCAATCTGATAGATTTAGTGTAGGCTGAGTTAATCATGAATATCTCAATCTATCAAGGTAGTGCTCAAAGTTCACTTTTGTATTACATTCAAGTACTTTCGATTGTTACACTCATCGTCATGAGTTGTCAGTCATGGTTCTTAAACCAGGTGGGTTTTGTTAAATTCCCGCATTTTACGATTGTTGAGATTAGAATTTCAGTCAGTCGAAAGTCAGGATATCTACAACCGTCAAACGAAGAAGTTTGTGTCATGCATTTATACGTGTTCATTTATATACACGTTTCCATATACGATTCCATACAAAGAAATATGTTTCATTCAATATTGGTTCTTGTATTATAATGTGTTCGTGCATTTTTAGTATTATTGATTTATATATATATATATATATCAAAGAGAATAAGC